AAGATACTCAATAGATGTAACTGAGTTAAATATGCCAAGAAGCTCTTTCTTCAGCAGGGCTTCTCTATCCCAGCACTGGTCACATCTGGGGACTGTCCAGTGCCTTAGCAGCATCTCTGGCTTCTACCCATAAGTATCAGTCTCCTTCCCCAACTATTCTTCAGACACCTCAGTCATCCCACTCTGGACTGCTGAGGCTTGCAGAAAAAAAGCCAGGTCCCAGTCAGCAGGCTTATCTCCCTATACAGCCCCACTGGGGACTGGGATTGTCCTTTCCCTTCACTGTTCCAGGTACCTCTAACTGAGGCATAGCCAGGGGGTGTTTGTAGGGGTATGAAGAAATAAGGGAGCTGAAGTGGTTGATGAAAAGCAGGGTGAGGGGAAAGGAGGGATCAGAGAGAGAGAGAGAGAGAGAGAGAGAGAGAGATTCCCCACTTCCATCCCAGTCACCTCTGGGAGGAACATGGCTGCTCCACAGCAGGTAGGCAGGCAGACTGTGGAACCTCCCCTCTTCTCTCTTCTTCCCTTTCTAACCAACAAGACCTAAAGCAGAGCAAGGAAGTGCAGCAGAGCACAGGCAGCTGTTTGGGTGTCATTTGGAAATACAAAACACATTGTCCTTAAGCTTCCCAGATGCTGTGACCTTGAATATTCACTCCCCTATTCTGCTTTCTCTTTGGCACCCTGTTGAACTCAAGCTCTCCATTTTATCTATTTATTTGTTAAATGAGCATGGACCAAACACCTATTGTATGTCTAGTTCTATATTAGACCTCAAAGGGTATTTTTAAAAAAATCTCTTTTGGGGGGTGGGGGGAGTTGGAGAGATGGCTCAGTGGTTAAAAGCACTGACTGCTCTTGCAGGTTTGATTCCCAGCACCCACATGGTGGCTAACAACCATCTGTAACTCCAGTTCCAGGGGATCTGATGCAAGTTTTCTGGCCTTTGTGGGCACTGCATGATGCAGGTTCACTTATACAAATGCAGGCATAACACTCATACACATAAAATAAAAATAACAAAATATTACAAGTATTTGGAATGATTCCTTTTCAAAGGGAGAGAGCAAGGAAGACATTAACTAAAATGGAAGACAAGGCCCAGTTGGAAAGGTTCACATGTTCAACTGGAAAAGTAATGCATATTCATACACACAGCCAGGAAGCCACAAAAGCCATGTTCATAATGCTGAGGGAAGGTGGAACAGAACAGTTTCTGAAAGTTTCCAACAAATGAGCTGCAGGAGTAAATGTTAAAAAGGCAGAAAGAAAAATCAGTCTACACAAGGACACCACAGTCCTCTCATATCCACTGGCTGATCTTGAGCTCCAAGGACGTGTGGGTCAAAGGGCATGTCCAACACAAGGGTTCCTTTCCCCAGGAGGGGATAAGCCTGGCATTTCCTCAATCAAATCAATTCTAAGTTTTCTTCTTGCAATTCCTGGGCATTATCTGTTTCTTTTGTTCCTCTCTGGGGAACAGTGCCTGACACTAGAAGCCACTTTAAAAGCCACACCCTTCTACCACCAAGGGAGTGTGCAGACAAGGTCTGTGTTGGGTAGAGACAACACAACCATGGACTTTCACTCATTCAAAAAGCAGCAAAGCTAACAAATATCCAAGTCATCCAAAGGTGAACCCAAGAGCCAAGCCATGTTACTGGTGCATATACATCTGCTAGGGAGCCAAATGATGGTGGAGGAATGGATTAGCTTCAGCAATCCCTGCAGCGGTTTGGGAGCTGGGGGAGGGGTGGTGCATTTAGCTAGCTATCCATTTATTTAGAGAAGCTTTGCAGATGGGGAGTGGGTAAGCACCTCTTATGTGGCAAACACAAGCAGCATCATTACACAGAAGCAGCATCATTACAGACAAGATGGCATCTCAGAAATAACTGCAGAATTTACTAAGATAGGTGAGATAATTCCATCCGCTGTGGGACCTGTCAGTTGAAGGGGCCGGGCAGGGACCTTGCCGAACTCAGTGATCTGGAGGGAATATTCAGTTTCTCTCCTAGGCCCCATCATGCATCCCAAAGGGAACCAGCAGGAAACCCAGACTTAAGAGTAACAATTTGCTGAGGGCCAGAGGCTGAGTCTGAGTCGAGTGTGGAGGGGCGTAAAAGAGCTCTCCCACTTGCTGGAGATAGTGGGTGGAATCCTTGGTCCTTGGATACGTTTAGTTTTTTGATGCGCCCGTTTAGTTTTTTGATGCGCGGGTCTGACTCAACGCTCCACAGTCGGGGCGTTGGCCCAAACGCAGCATTCCTCTCTGGGTTCTGGAGTGAAACCGATTCTTTAGAACAAGCACAGAACCAAGGCCTTCGCAGTCTTTGCAGAAGGCCATCTAGCAGCCTCAAGGAGCTTTCATTAACAGCAGAGGCCTTGGCGATCACGGTACCTCACCAGACCACCAACACAGTGGAGCTAATTCGGAGGCGTTGTGGCCTGTGCTTTGTTTCTGCATTGGGCGAAATGTGCTCCCCCAAGCCGATCTCTCCCATCCACAGACAGTCACACCTCTGCCTGAGGGGCTGTAATAAACAATGTTGGTCCTGGGCTTCCCTTTCCACATCCATCCCCAAATGCCTGGCTTTCTCTGGATTACGAATCCTGAGCCCAGTGTGTCTCAGGGCCAGTGCTGGGTCATATTTGAATCCATCCTTCAGCTGCTTGGCAGTCCGCGCGGGGCAGGCACAGGCACCCGTAATCGCCGCGCAGCGCACAGGCTCAGAGCTCAGAGCTAAGAGCTCCAGCATGTCCCGGAGAGGGCTTTCCACCCCAAGCCAAGACATTCTCTGTAATTCAGATCCACCTGGGCGGTCCACAAGGACGGTTCAGTCCTTAAGGTGCTCCGCAGTCTCAGAACTGCGCACCCGCACCAGTTTTCAATGACAGAAAACCTGAGGACCACCCTTACTGGGGAACAGACAGCGAGGCTGGGTCTGTTCACTTTCCATGCCTTCTTGGTTTCAAGGGCGGTAGTAAATTCCTACTTTTACGTCAAAGTCCCCCCTATTTAAATGATATTAATAAAACAATATTAATCGGTATGCCTATAATGAAAACACACTAGGGACGCCTATCTGGGTAGCGGCAGTCGCCAGAGCCCATGATAACGAGGCTCAGGTCCCGCGCCCTCCAGTTGGACGACCTGGCACCAGTCAGATTACCCCTGGGTTCTGAATCTCCGTGGGGTGAGGGGCGGGGCAACGCCCAGAGGTTCCGCCTCTGGCTCCAGTGGTTCCCATGGCAACCCCCACCGGATTCCCCCCCCCCAGTAGTTTGGGAGAGATGGGTGTGGCCGCAGCATCCCCAGGGAACCTCGCCCTCTCCTCACACTCTCCTGCGGGGAGAAGCAACAGGGCTCAAAGTGTGGGGTGGGAGCCTCACCTCCCCGGGCTGGGAAACCTGGAGTGCGGTCCCCAGCAAGCTCTAGGTGTAGAGATGGGCGTGGTTCCTCTGAGCCACCAGAGGTTACCTCGAATCCCATCTCTGTGGTCCAGCTAACCCTTCCTGGCTCTGGGCCGAACGGGGGATGGGGGTGGGGTGGGGACAAGGCTGCAAGGGGTCACGCCCGTCCCACGCGTGCCCTGGGGGCCGAGACTGGACCCCAGCAAGCCCGGAGATTCAACAAAGGGTCTGAAATGATGAGCAGAAAAAAAGGAGTTGCAGAAGCATGCTTAGGTAAATACCCTCATTGAATGAAAGCCAAAAACCAGGGCTGGGAGCGCACATCGCAGATCACACAACCTCTACAAACAAAGCAACGGTCCCTTAGAAGACCCGGGGTGAACGCCCAGAGTGCTCACACCGACAGAAGCAAAACGTCAAGATTTCCGCGCTCATCACCCCTGCTCTTTAATGCCAATCGCTGCCATGTCCTCCAAAGCCAGGCCACCGGTCTTGGCATGGCACGGTAAAGACGTGACACGCTGCAAAAAGATGGCACCTCGCGTTCAGAGGGGGAAAAAACGGGGGAGGGGTGGGGGTGGGAGGAGGCACGTTCTACTCTCCCCCTCCTCGCCCATCCAGGTCCACACCCACTGCCGCAGTGAGGGGCGAGTCCTGCGCGCCAGCCCGCGCCTCCCGCAGGGAGCGCACGTGCCGGGCGGGCGCCGGGCCCCGAACGCAGAGAAAGGAACCCGCCCCGAAATGCACCTGCAGCCCCGGCGCTGGTCTGTGCCCCGCTGCGGCTGTGTGAGCCCTGGAGCCCGCAGCCGCGGCCGCTGAGTCGGCTAACATGGCCATGCCAGGTGACCCCTGCCTTTCCCAGCTTCCACATCGGGATCCACGCTCTAGCTTCTCTCGGGCACGGCGCTGCCCCTGTCTCTGTACCAAGCGCGCGCAGGGGGAAGGGCAGCTAAAGTGACGGCGCCTGGACCCCTCCCCATCTCCCCGATTCCTCCCAGCCCCCAAATGTCCCCTGCGGGTTTCTGAAGGAGGAAAAGGGGAGGGGATGGGCCATCGCTTTAAATCAGGGGCAGTAAAGGCCCCGTGGGATCCGCTGCCAGGGAGGTGTACAGAGAGGTAAAGACGGAGTCATCTTCTCTAGAACCTGATCCCCATCTTCCTTAGGGCTGATGACAACCAGGGGCACAGATTTCAGGTTCGGTTTCGGGGGTCGACATTGGACCCTCCTGCACACACAGAGACCCACGCCCATTGCGGTAAGAGGCTGAGATCCAGAGTGCTGAGCAGCCTCCTCCCCTAGGTCACTGCCGTCCGCGCCCCACCCTGCGGGCACAGCCCCCCTCCTCGTTTCCGCGAAGCGAGTGGTGCGGATTCCCATCACACACAGACACACGCTTTCGCCAGCGTGCATGCATCTCTAGCTCGTGTTGCTTCCCAGACCGCCCTGGTCCCAGCTCCCCGGCGCGAGGGGCGCCGTTGCGCCCGAACGATGCTCAGCGCCCTAAACCCACTTCTGGGGCGAGGGGCGGCAGGAGGGTGGCGCACAGGGACAGGCGGGGACCGGATGGCAGAGCCTTGGAGCTTACCTGATAGTCGACAGAAGGCGAGGACAGAAGAGGAGAGTGGAGGAGAAGGTGGCTGTGGCGGCGGCGGCAGAAGGTGGGCGGTGGCGGCGGCTCTGCTGCTGGTGCCGGCGCTGGTGGGTGGCGGAGACTGGGAGTGCGCGCGCCGGCGAGAGAGCGCGTTCCCGAGGCCGGCGGGCGGCGCAGGCGCGAGCGGCGGGCGCGCGAAGCTCCCAAGAGGGAGGCCTTCGCGGGCGCTTTCCCCTCCGGCCGCCAGTGGGCGCGCGCGAGCGCCCCACGGCTCTGTCCTCCCCGCGCCCGCTGGCTGGCTGGCTGCCCCCGCGCGCTGCTCTTCCCGGATCCCACTCCCGCCTCGCCTGGGGCCGAGGCGCTGATCGCCGCGCGCACGCGCGCTCCGTGGCGCACGCGCACTCCGGGCCCCGCACCGCCTTTGTCTTACCGCGGGGTCTCCTCCCTCGGGCCCAGCGGGGTCGGGGCGAGGCGGGTTGGGGGTAGTGCAAGTCATCAGCTGCTTTCCTTCGGCCTCCTCCATGTCTTATCTTGGAGAGAGTTGGCCCATGCTGTCGCCCCAGGCAGTGCAGCCCGCATCTCGAGGCGCCCGCAAGCCTCCCTAAATTCAGTCCTCGAACTGGAGACCACTTGCCTACCGGGCCGCTTTCTTTTTCCTTGCTTTCTTTCTACCTTTTTAGTTATTATTGGCCAAAGTGAATTATTTCCTTGCAAATCGTCTTGAAACATTGGTTTAGCGCTTTCGTGAATTTATTTTTTAATTCAGGAGCGTTGGGACCTACCTATTAGGTATCTAACCGTGACTCTAGGGAGGGAAAATCTTAAATTAGTTAAGTTCTAATGTGCTTATCACATTGCAAAGCATTTGCACATGGAGTTATTTTTATCACATTTGTTGAAACACCTTTGTACTGTAAGTACAGCCTGAGATCTGAATTTTTAGGTGCCTGCTGGAGATGGCCACCTGGATGTCAGGCTTCAGGTGGAAACTGACCACCGTTAGCCTTTCTTCCAGCGCCCAGGGCCTGGCCCACGACTTCGTCTTAGGTTCCTTTCCTCCCCAATGCTCTTGAAGCCCAGGCATTGGGAGGTTGTGAGGGGGAGGGGCAGCTATCTCCTGAAAGAGAGGGAAACTTGTCTTGAAGCTTTAATTTGTATGACTTTTATTCTTTTGTTTTAAAAAATCCAGTGTTGTACTGGTGCCTCATATCTGTAATCCCAGCATTCAGGAGGCTAAGGCAGAAGGATCACCATGAATTCAAGGCCAGCTTGGACTACATTGTAAATTCCAGCCTAGGTTACAGAGTGAGAGTAAATAAATAAGCACTTGCCTAATATGTGAAAGGCCTTGGGTTCCATTTCTTAGCACCACAAAAATGTTTTCTTTCTGTCTTTCTGTCTTTCATCATGTAATGCTGACTGGCCTGGAGCTTGCAACGTAGACCAGGCTGCCTCAAGCTCAAGGAGACCCACCTGTTTCTGCTTCCCGGTGTGTGAAAATGTTTTCTTCATACAGGGTTAATTACTGTTATTATTTGGGGGAACTCTGGGTAGTGGGGGTAATTTCGTAGCCTCAGGTTCTGAATTTCTGGACCTGGCCTGGCTGTTGTTCGAACTCACCACCCTCCTTGAAGACTCCTCCTTGATTCTGGACATCTAGGGTCTTACTGGTTTACCTGCTTTTGATTTTCCTGTCTATCAGCCCACCACTGGGCTGGTCAGATCATCTTCAGACAGGAACCTTTCAGTCATGGCAGTTTCTTGCTCAAAAATGCCTATCATTTTCCAACTGGATGGACTTAAATTCCTTGGTCCAGCATTCAACTCCTCCCACAGGATCAGCTTTATCTCTCTCTCACTCTGTCGCTAGCTGGGATGCTTAACTAGATCTTTTCCCCAGCTCTGCACTCTAGGGTTCTCTTTGCCTGCAAGGTTCTTACTCTTCTCACCCCACTAACATCCTACCTAACCTTCATACTCTAGCTCAAATTTTACCAAAGCCTTCTTCAGTCACCTCAAGTAAGAGAGATATTTCTACTCTCTAGAAGTTTAGCCAAGTTACTCAGGAGAGGGGTGGAATTAGTACCTGTCTTGCAGGGTTGGCATTTTATTACTGTCCCCAGTAGCTGCATTTTTCTGTGTGGGGACTGCACAGCCTTGCCCATTTCCTGGTATGTGGTGTAGACATGTCCGAACAGAAGCTTTGAATCCTCCTTGCTCTCACCAGAAGGACACATTACATGGCCCTGCTACTGCAACCAAAATTCTAGAATGGTAAAGCTTAAGGAAGTATGCACAATATGAGCAAAAAATAAAATGTGTTGCCATCGAGATTTGGGGAGCTGGTTGTTACTGTGACAAAGATAATTGTAGAAATTTAATAAGATTGTGCATGCATGCATGTGTGTGTGTGTAAAGTTGTTTCTACACAATAACAACCGTCACTAAATGATAAATTGTGTTATTATAATCTTCAAAGTTAATGCTTTTGTTAAATATTATTTTCTTTTCTATATGTAATCTATAACCATCAAAGTAAGACTCCTTCACATTCAAATTTCTCAGTATTTCCCCCTAATATAGACTGTAATTGAGGAATTGTTAGGGACCTAATGGCACTATAATCCCTGGATACCAAATGGTCACATTTGTCCACACTAAATGGAGGTAATATGCTAAGAAGAATCTGGAGTAAATCTGCCTTTAAATGTTTGTGATATGGAGTTGAGTGCTCATTCCAGATAATTTGATCACTGTGGGTAGCTAATGGCTCCCTAATGCAGGCCAAGAAAATGCATCCCCTTCATCCTTCTGCCCCTCCCTCTTGCTGAAATAGAAAGCACATGGCCTCTCAGGTCCAGCACAAGCCCACACATGTAGGACTATACAAGGAAGATTTAGTTGAAGGAAAACTGACAAGTGGCAGAAGATGCAGGTCCAACCTTAGCCATCTTGTGTGAGCTTAGGCAAATTAATTAGCTTCTCTGTTCTTCAAGTCCTTTATTGAATAGTATCTTGGATAGAGCTAGAACTGAGATCTGTAGCATTTGGAAGCTTTGCCAGTAAATGTATTCACAAAGTAAACTGATGTATTGAAACAAATAGATTCTAACTATAATGGTTCTAACCTGACTCTCCAAGTAGTCCGGGGGGAAGGCATGTTCCAAGTGGATAGCAGCCTCTTCTCCAAGAGACTATAGAACCCCAGCTTCTTCCACCTTGTGGTTCCACTGCTTCTTAGGGCCTTCTTGTTCTTTGTAGGGATGAGGCTGAGTTATGAGCTGGAGGAAGGGAAGGAATGTGTGGAGGAGGCACTGGCTTATCCAGAGGCTGCTGGCATTGAATCACCTTGGTCACCTCGTCATCCCCAACTGAGAGAGAGAGAGATCAATAAATGTGGGAAAGTTGTGGGTCCAGGGAGAAGAGAAGGAAGGATTTGGGTAGAAGCCAGTGTCTGCCATATATATTTTCTACAGTTGGGGTCAGAGGACCTTGGGAAAAATGGAAACAGAACTTGAACTTTCCATCATGAGACGCTAGCATGTGATGAATATATCAGAAGATCAGGGAGGACAAGAGGGTCGAAAACCATGAGGGAAAGATAAAGCCAAGTTTCCAAATAGCTACCAAAAGAGAAGGTGTCTCTGTATCAGAGAGCACTTAACTTGCTTTACACCATGGAACCCTTTGGTATCTGATAAAGCCCATTTTCAGAAGACTATTTCAAATTACATAAAGCATGTATGTTTAAAAAACAAAATTTTATGTATGGCTATCAAAGCACTAAATCCCTATTGATACAGTGTGTGGTGGGCATGGAGATATGCTGTGTTCCAGTGTTGGAGAACTGTCTCCAGACAGGCCTCAGCTGCCAGGACCACCATGGATGCCTCAGTTCCAAAGTCCCCTGCTCCAAGTGGGCATGGTGGCACACATCTATAATCCCAGCACTTGAGAGGTAGAGACAGGAGGATCAGAAGTTCAAGGTCATCCTTGTCTACATAGCAAGTTTGAGGCCAGCCTGGACTATATGAGACTGTCTCAAAAAAAAAAAAAAAAAAAAAAAAAAC